CTCATTTCCCTTACCTTCCTCACTAATAATTTTCAGTTAGTATTCTCTTTTATTTCTGCTTTGGGTTATATTTAATGTATGAATTTCATTCACAATGAATATTCCTTCAATTCCCTACCTATTGAATATCTTTAGTGTAACGTATAAAGATGTACATGGTATTTCTAAATAAAAATGCCAACTGTGGGCTGAGCGCAGTGCCTCACGCCTGTAATCACAGCGCTTTGGGAGGCCTAGGCGGGTGGATCACCTAAAATCAGGAATTCAAGAGCAGCCTGGCCAAAATGGTGAAACCCCATCTCTACTAAAAATACAAAAATTAGCCGGGTATGGTGGCAGGTGCCTGTAATCCCAGCTACTCGGGAGGTTGAGGCAGGGGAATCTCTTGAACCTGGGAGGCAGAGGTTGCAGTGAGCCGAGATTGTACCATTGCACACTAGCCCGGGCAACAAGAGTGAAACTCTGTCTCCAAAAAACAAACGAAATGCCAGCTGTGTTTAATTTTGAAATTTCTCTTCTAAATGGAAAAATAATGGACAGAAGTAGAACTGTTGGGAAAAAGCAGAGATTATGAACAAGTTGTAGTAGGGAAATACCGAAAATATTACATGTAGGTAAGTATAATAGTGAAAAATTATTTGTGAATGTGGCTCAACTGCAAGAAACATTTTTTTCCTCAAGTTAATCAGTGCCTTTTAATGTATAATACTATAAAGTTCATTAGTAAAATCAATATTCTGAATCCTTGTTTTCTAGGGTAAAAATTCAATCGATGCAAGCGAAGAGAAGCCAGGTAAACATCCTTATTCTAGTTTTGAATAATATATGTTTATATTTCTATTTTAATTGCTATCAAAAATAAAATTTTTTTTTATAGTTATGAGGAAAAAAAGAGGAAGAGAAGATGAATCATACAATATTTCAGAGGTCATGTCAAAAGAGGTAAAAATAAAAGGGAGAGGGTACCTAACATTTGATGTTGAGTAAAATGTAGGTTTTAAACCACCTTAAAGCTGTAAGGATTGAATATTCAATATCACATCAAATATGTTTTTAATTTAATATTATATATCATTTATAGATGAAGTTGCCAAAATGTTTGAAGCTATCTACCAACCTACAGTAGACTTGAGACTAATCTGAAACTAATGTCATCTGACCTTCATAGACTTTTTTTTTTTTTTTTTTTTTTTTGAGGTGGAGCTTTGTGGTCCATGCTGCCTTGGCTCACTGCAACCTCCACCTCACGGGTTCAAGCGATTCTCTTGTCCCAGCCTCCCAAGTAGCTGGGATAACAGGCGCCCACCACCACGCCTGGCTAATTTTTGTATTTTTAGTAGAGATGGGGTTTCACCATGTTGGCCAGACTGGTCTTGAACTCCTGACTTAAGGTGATCTGCCCACCTCGGTCTCCTAAAATGCCAGATTACAGGCGTGAGCCATTGCGCACGTCCTCACTTAAGTGGCAAATAGATTTACACCTTTAGGTTGTTCTGGTTTTCTTTTCTTTCCTTCTTTTGTTTCCTTCCTTCCTTCCTTTCTGCCTTTCTAGCTTCCTTCTTTTTTTTTCTTCTTTTCTTTTTTTGAGACAGGGTATAACTCTGAGACTCAGGCTGGAGTGCAGTGGCACAATCATGGCTCACTGCAGCGTCAACCTCATGGGCTCAAGTGATCCTTCTACCTCAGCCCCCTGAGTAGCTGGGACTACAGGTGTGTGACACCATGCACAGCTGGCTAATTTTTAAATTTTTTGTAGCGACGAGGTCTCATGTTGCTTAGGCTGCTCTTGAACTCCTGGGTTCAAACGATCCTCTTGCTTTAGCCCCCCAAACTGCTGAAGAGTACACGTGTGAGCCAGTGTGCCCAGCTTTATGCTAGTTTTCTTTTTTTTGTGGGGGGCGGGCGGGGGTGAGACAGAGATTTACTGTTGTTGCCCAGGCTGGAGTGCAATGGTGCAGTCTCAGCTCACCGCATCCTCCGCCTCCTAGGTTCAAGCGTTTCTCCTGTCTCAGCCTCCTGAGTAGCTGGGATTACAGGCATGTGCCACCACGCCCGGCTAATGTTGTATTTTTAGTAGAGATGGGGTTTCACCGTGTTGCCCAGACTAATCTTGAACTCCTGACCTCAGGTGGTCTGCCTGCCTCGGCCTCCCAAAGTGCTGGGATTACAGTCATGAGCCACTGCTCCTGGCCTATGCTGGTTGCTTTATTTGGGTTATTATAGAAAACAGTAATAGCTTTGACTCTACCAATTATCTTGTGGTTGTAAAGTACCTAGTAGACTTGTATTTTGCAAGGAACTGTGGAAACAACAGGCGTGGCCATACAGCTTAAAATTACATATAATATGTTGTGGAGAGGTGGGGGGAAAGGGTAGGGTAGTAAAGACAATGACCAGAGCAGAGAAGTGTTTTAGGGAAAAAGATGGTATCTTGTTAAAGGAGTCTGAGCCTGGCCTAGTCAGAAATTGTTACTATAATTTAACTTTTTGTAACCCCTAACCTTGTCTTAAGAACTTTATTCTTGTTCTTTGTTGAAGACTTTTACGAATCTGAAATCATATGCTCATTTCTAAAACCAACTTCTTTTTTTCATTTCTC